CATATATGTTTAGAATTGTGATATTTTCCTGTTTGATGAGGACTTTTATCATTTTATAATGTTCCTCTTTGTCGTTTTAAACTGCTTTGGCTTTAAAGTTTTTTTTGTATGATATAAGAATAGTTACTCTTGCTTGCTTTTGCAGTAGATAGTTGGTTAGTGAATTCTTACCCATTCTGCAATTCTGTATCTTTTAAGTGGAGTATTTAGGCTATTTACATTCAATGTTAGTATCGAGATACGAGGTATCATTCTATTCATCAGGCTATTTGTTGCCTCTATATGTTGGTTTTTTGTTTGTTTGGTTTGGTTTTTTTAATTGTATTTTTGTTTTATATGTCCTGTTAAATTTATGCTTTAAAAAAGTTATGTTTTGATGTGTTTCCAGTATTTGCTTCAGTATTTACAGCTGTTTTTAGCAGTTCTTGTAGTGCTGGCTTGGTAGTGGCAAATTCTCTCAGCATTTATTTGTTTGAAACAGTCTGTATCTGTCCTTCATTTATGAATTTTATTTTCACAGGATACAAAATTATTGGCTGATAATTGGTTTGCTTTAAGAGGGCCATAATCCTTTCTAGTCAGTAGAGTTTCTGCTGAGAAATATACTGTTAATCTGGTAGCTTTTCCTTTGTAGGTTACCTGGTGCTTTTGTCTCACACCTCTTAAGATTCTTACCTTCTTCTTAACTTTAGATAACCTGATGACAATGTGCCTAGTTGATGATCTATTGGTGATGAATTTTCCAGGTGTTCTTTGTGCTTCTTGTATTTGGATGTCTAGGTCTCTAGCAAGGCTGAGGAAGTTTTCCTCAATTACTCCTCCAAATAAGCTTTTCAAACTTTTAGATTTCTTTTCTTCCTCAGAAATGCCAATTGTTCTTAGGTTTAGTCATTTCACATAATCCCAGACTTCTTAGAGGCTTTGCTCATATTTTCTTATATATATTTTTTGTCTTTGTTGGATTGGGTTAATTCAAAGACCTTGTCTTGGAGCTATGAATTTCTTTCTTCTACCTGTTTGATTCTATTGCTCAGACTTTCCAGAGCATTTTGCATTTTTATAAGTTCAATAACTGATTTTATATAACTGATTTTATAATAACTGATGATATTTTGACACTAGTATGTGATTCTTGGAAACTCTTAGGGAGACTGTCTGATGTAGTTTTCCAAGCTGAACGCTATGAGAGACTCAATGGAATAAACATCCTCTTTTTTGAGGCCTGTCTTAAGGAGGCAGCTATGGTATAGTGGACAGTGCTGGGCCTCAGAGTCAGTCTTGGGCTGAAATTCAGCATATCACTTGCGGCTGTATATTCACAGAAAAATTATTAAACCTTTGTGAACTTCAGTTTCTTCTTTTGTTAAATAAAGATTGTAAAGGATGCCTACCACCTAGGAATATCATGAGTATTAAATAAGACAAAGTATGGAAGTACAAAAGCACATGAGCAATAATCACTAAATATTGGTTTTTCATCCACCTTCTCTTTCACTGCACTACTCCTTAGAAAGGCGCTCTTAAGGAAGGTAATTCGCTCCCACTGGAAACCACAAGGAAGAAAGGCTTTGTAGAAGATAGCCAGATGACCGCACAGCTGCCCTCAGTGGGGATCCATTTTGTCCATACAGGCAGCATGTGAACTCCTAACACTCATGTGTACACAATTTCTGAGGACTTAAAAGACTAACTGCTGGGTATACAGAAACTTGCCAATCACACTGAGAACATAAAATGCAGTAGTATCATACCAGCCCAGAAATATGCAAGTGTTTTTAGTCCCCAGTGAAAAGGTTATTAACAATCACCTAAGAATCTTGTTTGACAGTTTGATAACTTGTCTGCTGCTTTGATCTATCTCTTCACAGAGATCTGATTCTCCATGTCCTTCTGGGGTATAGAGTGGGGACTCACTGCCTTTTGACAGGCACAGGCACACACTGAAATGAACTCCAAAACAGACAAGGGTTGCCTAAATGCTAACCCCTTCTATGCCTTTATTGTCATTTATAAATCAGAGGAATCAATTTCTCCTACTGTCCCACTATTCATAATTTTATCAAATGAGAATGCAAGGCCCAGTTAGGATTTAAAAAACGCCTTTTCTCAGAGGCATGATAAATACACAAGCCCTGGCCTCTTACCTCCTGGTAATTCCAGTCACTTCTCCCCCATTCTGTAGTGGTTCCCTCAACAAACCCTTCTACAGCCTGTGATAGTATTTCTCAATATATCTTTTCCTATACACACCCCTAAGCCTTAGTGGTTTCCTCTGTCCTTTCTCCTTTGGTTTGAGTGATACCTTCTAAGTCTTCCTCCTCTAAGTTCTGCCTAGATGCTTTCTCTCCCTCTTTTCTCTAGGCTATGTAGGGTGTAGAGAGACTAAAAAGAAGAGAACTGAATAGGACTCAAGTTGTGTCTCTTTCTTTTGCACTGAATTGAGCAATTAAGTGGGGTGTGTGTGTGTGTGTGTGTGTGTGTGTGTATGAGAGAGAGAGAGAGAGAGAAAGAGAGAGCAAGAGATTGATTATGTAATCAACCCTGGTTATGAATGTTTTTTAGAAAGTAAATTAGTAAAGCAACAGTAGTCTACTCAGAGATCAGTAATCATAGAATATTTTTTAAAACAGCTTTATTGAGGAATATCTACATATTATAAAATTCATTCATAATTTCATGTATACAAGTCAATGATTTTTATTAACTTTATTGAGTGGGGCAGACATCACCATAACTAAATTTTAGAACATTTTTATCCTTTAAGTAAGATCCATTATGCCTACTAACATTTAATTTTTTCTCTCATGGCCATTCCAAGGCAACCATTAATCTACATTCTGTCTTGATTAGCATGCTTTTTATGGACATTTGATATAGATGGAATCATACAATATATGGTCTCTTGTATCTGACTTATTTTACTTGACATGATTTGAGGTTCATCTACAATGTATCATGTGTCAAAAGTTCAATATTTTTTACTGCTGAATAGTATTCTATTATATGTATATACCACAACTTTTTATCTATTCATCAGTTGATGGACACTTGGGTTGTTTCCACTTTTTGGATATTATAAATAATGTTTTTATATTTGTATACAAGTATTGTATGTACATATGTTTTTGATTATATTGAGTATATATCTAGGAGTGATATTACTGGACCATACTCTAGCTTTAGCTTTTAGAGAAACTGCCAGACTGTTTTCAAAAGTGGCTATGTCATTTTATAATTCTACCAGCAATATATGAGGTTTCACATTTCTCCATATGCTTGCCAGCATGTGTTGTTGTCAAGATTATAGAATATTAAAGATGGAAGGAAACTTGATTTTCCTACCTCTTAAATTATAGTAAAGTATAGCATTCAAAATTAAATAGTGTCTCTTTAGGTGGTCTCTTTCACTTGGTAAGATTATCAACACAAATACAGGCCCTGAAAGGGTAAGGCAGTACTCTTAACAAGTCTAGCTAGAATATGCTTGTATTTTAAGAAATTATGAACAAAATGAAAACACACACACACACATACAATCAAATTCCTAAAGATTTTGCAGACCTCAGAAGACGTACACAGTTCCCTTAGGACCATGGAACCCTGTTTGATAAGTATTAGTTTAGAACACAACAGTTTCTAGGAGATTCTTATCTCAGAGAAGAATATAAATGGCATAAACAATTTCAGAAAAAGAAAGAGAGCTTGTACTATAACCCAGATCTCCTGTGTGACAAGTCAGTGAATCCCATCACTACTGATGTCACGTCCAATGACCAGAAACACATTTTTTGCTGTGCTCACTGAGAAAAGACACACGAACAAAATGATTCACCAGGTTCTCTGAAAGTAGAGGAATAAACAAGGTGTTTGGATATATTTATGTTTATTGGCCAATATGAAATGTTTGCAGAGTATCATAAACAAACACAGCCCTGTCACTATCTACACATGCATATAGCTCAAGATTTAACAAAATCTCTGTAAACCATTTATGAGAAAAAAATAATTAAAATGTACCAATATTCAATGTAAAACACCGAAGACCTAGCTAGTAAGGTGAGGTTGGTAGGGAGGAGGGAGACAGAAGGGATTATGATCTCAATGTGACAGGGCTGTATGTTGTGGAGGGGTATGCTGTAGTGCTGAATCCTTTCCTAGCCTGGATCTGAGAATCTTGGAGGAAAAAATTGTTTTCCCAGACTCACTCCTGTCAAAATCCGAGTGAAAGTATATGGAGAGAAAAACAGTAATCCAAAAAAAAAAAAAACAAAAAACAGAAACCAAAAAACAAAAAACAAAAAAAAAATTCATTCTCAGCAAATACCTCCCCTTCCTTACAAACAAAAACTACATTTTTTTTTTTTTTTGGCTAGTTCATTTAGAGACAACTTAACTACTGTTTAGGCTCAAGGGTATGTTGTCAAATGTACTTTGTGCTTCCACTAATAACCCCTTTGTAGAAAGATACATAAAAGCACAGTGCTCAAAGAAATAAGTCTCAGCATTGAAAAGGAAATCTGTAAAAAAAACTCTCCTGAAGCAAATACTCAACTATGACATTTGCCCTGGCCAAACAGAAATTATAAAGAAAAACATCCTTCAATTCACCTTTACCCAAAATACCCTAAAATGCAAAGTCAATTGCCACCTCCAATTGCTGAACCTCAAAAAGTTGGCATTAAGGTGATGCTGGGTATGACTTGGGCTGTTCACATAACATTCATGCCATGAGCAAGCACACTGAAGAAGGTTTACTCTGTCACTTTATCACATTTTTGTTGTTATTATTATTATTATTATTACTGTGTTACAATCATTATCTTTCCTCTAGAGTGGCAGTGTTAAATGTGAGCTTGAACCACTGCCAGCCACATGGCAACCTTTGAATACCTGCAGTCTGCTCAAATCCAATAATCCTCTGTCTGGATACTACTTCTACCAGAAGGTATAAACACGATCAGTGTAAGCCAGTGAGATAAGAATAACCTGTTGCTATTGCAGAAAAAAAAAAAAAAAAAAAAAAAAACCCAAAACAGCAAACCTAAAGGCCAAGGCCTAAAACCTTGGTTACCACATATTTGCTAATACCTGTGTGGGGCCAGACTGCTTGCTTGGTACCGGCTTGTATTTCAATTGCATCTAATCCTCAGTCCAGTACAATGGGACCTTTTTGCTTTTTCCCAAGTGCTTTCAGTAATCTGATCAACTGGTTGCCCCAGGGGCCCTTAATCAGTGTTTGCAGATGGACTAACCCAAAAGATGTATTTAATAAAATTCTAAAAGCAAAACTCTTGCTGTAGAGAACACTCTTTTGCCAGAGTGAGAACCTGGTGATGAAGTGCACATTCTGTCTAATGTACTTAATAAACCACCTAATACTTGTGGGACAGGAACTAGCTGTACAAGTTTCAGACAGATTCTCAGGTAATAAACAATACAACCTCCAAGGAGCTTGTTTTTCTCTGAGCATGAGATGTATAGGTGGGAGCTAAAGGCAAAAAGACGATTGAGAAAGAATCAAAGGGGAACAGTGGTGAAAGAGCTGGGATTGAATTGACATTTCAATAGAAAGATGCATACTCAGATGTCCTTAAATGGATTGGGGGCTGTCTTTGAGGGACTGCTTGGGTGTAGTTTGGGGAACCCAGGCCCCAGAAGGAAGATTATTTTGACTCAGAAATGTTCTGTAAGGTTCCAAAATGGCAAACTTCAACCCTTCTCCCTGCTGAGGGTGGTGAGCACCTCAAATACAGGGTGAGGCCCCAGGGGTTTAAAGGGAAAATGTTTGCCCTGCCTCATGCTGCAACGCAGCAGTCTGAGACATGAGCTTGGGAATTATGGCACCAGCCTCCCCCAAGATAGATATTAACACGTGTGTGTGTGTATGTATATGTGTGTGTGAGTGTGTGAGTGTGTGTGTGTGTGTGTATGTTGAGGAGGGAGGCTGTGTGGAGGAGCTAAAAGGGGAGAAGGGCTTGATTTTGTCCCTAAAGTGCTAGGTAGATGTGCTGACACAATTTTGAGAGGCTTACCTGACCAAAAATGCAGGCATGGAAACCCTACCTCATTCACTGTCCTCTCTCCTCTTCTCTATAATCAAGTTGAGCTAGGAACATGTCTGGTAGTCCCATGAATGTGGAATCTGGCTCCCCAGACTACAGCCGGGAAGCAAGAAATGCTCCAGATCAGTCCTGGTGAATGGGACAGGATATGCCACATCTGTAGAGTATTCTGGTGGTATGGGACAGGATATGCCACATCTGTAGAGTATTAGCTCTTGCGGACACCCCATTTCAGGCCCCTGCTGCTGTTGTGGTATAGCAACAAGGAAGCAGAGTCCAGAGAGAACAACTGGCTGCCAGGAGCCAAAGAGACTTAGGGAGGGAGCAGATCAAGTTAGAAACATGTGGGTAAATGTCACGAGTACCCTTCTCTCTCTACCCCTCCAAATATCACAGGTTAAGCCAATGGTTGAGGATGAAATAGCAGAAACACATTACTTAGATAGGGATATGACAATTCTACCCTATTCTACATTGGTGAAATCATTTATCCTGAAGATGGGTTTAGTTCTAAGCTCCACATACTTTAGAAGAACCTAAAGTGGTATTCTCCAGAGAGGCAATGTTGTCTTCAAGCCTCTGCAGGGCTATCTTAAAGCACAGGAAACTGATGAGGTCTGTCTGGCACAAGGAACAGAGCCAGGATGGATAGGCGGGTACTATAGGGAAAGCTCTTTCTTACATTGAGCTCAAATCCACCAGTCACAATTGTATATGTTGTAATATACATTGAGTAGTAGTCAGCCCTCTGCCACCTCAAGTATGTGAGCAAGGACTACACAAACTCTTAGTGGGGATATTATAAAATGAACCCAAGCCTTGGAAGAAGAACTGGACTAGATAACCTTGAAGGTACCTAAGTTGACTGATTTGATATCAGTTATAACTTTCAAATTTGATATCACTTATGATTTTCAAATATACATTTGTTCACATTTTCTTAGGTTGGATGCAGGGAGCAGGGAAGACATTGGGAGAGCTGAAAATGTATTAACTGAAGAAATACAGAATTGAACAGTGCAAGATATTTGGTTAGTTGAAAACTGGGAATCTACCTACTCTTCTACCTCATGCTACGTAAGCCTTTGAGAAACCAACATTGGCTATCAAATGGTTGCAATGGTGGAGTTGGACCAACTCTAAAATGTAGTTCTTGCCCAGTTCTAGCCCACTAATTTGCTCTGTGACTTTGAGAAACTAACTTTCCCTCTCTGTGTCTCAGTTCCTGCCTCTGTAAAACATAAAATGAAGGGATATACGCACAAGGTTTGTATAGTTATTAGGGAATGGAGGTTGATTTGAAATGTAGGGTTTCCAGATGACAAGGCTTGTATATATTTTTTTCTACTGTGCTATGTTGCTTGTACAAATAAAGGGAGATACCTGAATATGACCATTAGATAGTGGCGCCCTGAGACAGCTTGAAAAAGGCCAGAATGGAGAGACTGGTGTCATGAGAACCTTGCCAGTTCCCTGACAGCTGCAGACCCAGAAGTGTGATATCTATCTGGCTTAGAAGTATAGCATCACCACTGTTGCCCCTCCACCCACAAGTGTTCCTAGCTTGCTGCTGTTCCTCCACTCTTAGTAAACAATAATATTCCAGAGGGGAATTCCTTGAGGCTAGTCCTTAATTTCTGTTTTGTTTTCTGTTGCTGTTTTTATTTTTTCTGATCCACCTTTCCAGCTCACCTCATTAGAGTTAAGGGCTGGGAACTTCAAAGTCCACATTGAGCTCCAGTCTGTCTCCAGTGCTTTCGGTTGTGTTTCCCCTCAAGGTCTCAGCTCCAGTATAGGAGGCAGAGCTGGAAAACTTTTGCAGGTCCAGCTCTGTGCATTCGATGGGGTTGTGGACCCAGTGGGAGTGGCTCTCTGAGGCGCAGGAGGCCGTGGTAAAGGAATCCTGTGTGGGGAAGCCACTAGTCGAGCTGCAGTCGTCCTCGAGGATAGGGTTAAGTGGCTGGGTCTGAAAGATGCTCTCACTCATTTGGGGCTCAGGACTGGTCTCCTTGCTGGGTGCCATGGGGAAGAGAGATTCCTCCTCTGCTGTTTTATCAGCCTGAAACTTCAGCGAACCTCCTGCACCTCGAAGCAGAAAGCCACTGGGTTACCCAAAAGCAGGGGCTCTTCTCAACTGGGCACTCGGTACTGAGCACAAGATAGGGAAAAGTCTGGGAGCTGATTCTTCCCTTTCTCTCCCTGGGGACTAGAGCACGTAGCACCAGGCTGAGGTGACACAGTTCAGAAACATACTTACATTCGGGTATCAGATTGAGGCTACCTGGTACTGGATCAGGGAAAATAATCAATTTCTCTAGAGAAAAGGACGCCTTTGTGGGAAACAGGAATTTGATACCGTCTCCCTTGCCATTTGGTCTGGTCTTATGTCTATGTACATTAAGTTACATGGCAAACTAGACTCTGCAGATGGAATTAAGGTTATGGATCTCAAAATAGGGAGAGAATCCTGGATTACTTTATGGATCCAATGTAATCCTGTGTCCCTAAAAGCAGAAGAGGAAGGCAGAGGAGATAGAGAGTATCAGAGAGATGTGGCATGAGAAGAACTCACCATTGCTAGTTTTGAAAATAGAAGGGGGCCATGAGTCAAAGAATGTAAGTGGCCCTAGAGGCTTACAGCTGGCAAGGAAATGGGACCTAAGTCCTTTAACTGCATAGACCTGAATTCTGCCACCTTTGTGCATGATCAAGCAAACAGATTCTCTCCCAGAGACTCCAGAAAGAAACACAGCCCTGCTAATATCTTAATTTTGGCATTGTTTGAGACTCTAAGCAGAGACCAAATTAAGCCTACTGAACTTCTGAGCTATGGAAACTGTGAGATAATAAGCTACTAAATGTGTGGTAATTTGTTATGGCCATGATAGAAAAGTAATACCCCCCTTATGCATGGGTCCAATTCAACATCAGGTCACAAACTGAGAACCTATGGGATGTGTTTGGCCTCTTTGCTTTGGTTGTGATTTTGTTCTTTATTCGAATTCATTGACTATGTTTTACACAATTTCAGTAAAAAAAAATCCAGATTTCTAAATTCTCTTGAAAATGTAGAAGATCTTGCAACATTAAATTTTTCCACGTGGTTACAAAGAGCTGGAGCCAAGTAGTGGGATTCCCCTTTTGATAAGGGATGTGCTCTCTAGTTTGCCACAGTTGCTACTTTTCTCTCTTGCAATCTTACATTGGATCTAATTCACACATACATCTCATCCCTGTATGTGTGTAAGTCAATGACTCCTGAAAAACAGTTTTCCAAAGTGAGGAAATGTTTAGCCTTCCTACCCCTTATAAAAACAGTGAGGAAACTGCCTGCCTTCATATTCCAAGCAGGTTACCACATTATTATCTTCAGGATAGAAGGAGAGCAGAAAAGGGTTACCCATCTCTCCTCTCCGGAAGCAGCTCTCTGATATTCTCTCCTTTTCATCTTCTTGACCCTGGAGTCCAAATGCTTCATTGTTCATGTTTCATGTCCACACATCCAGGGCCTAAGCAACAACTCTTATCTGGGACACTGGCCTCCAAAGTCAGAAACAGGAATGTCTACCCTGAGTCACAGTATCCCAGGAGCTAGCAAGAAGTAGACTTTGAGAAAAATCATAAAGGGACAACAGTGTTCTCCGTGTATCCTGCAGCCCATGAAATGCTATATTCATCTCCAATTAAGCCAGGGCACAACCAAATATACCTCTTGGGCTTTTCAAGATCAACTGCTAGGCCCCAGAGCCAAACTGACTAAGGCAAATTTATGTTAGCAGGATCTTCCCACACAAATACTGCTGCTTTGGACACAAAGATGAAAAGGAGTCCTTAGCACTCTTTTATCTAGTGAATTTTATCCTCCCTCTTATAAATCAACTTCATTCTCTGATCTGAGTTCCTGTTTCAGTGTCCCTGACTAACTCTCAGTTCCCTTAATGGCACTGAAGCTGCACTAAACCTTGGTACTCTTGGCTGGAGTTCTAACTCTTTGCCTGGTCCTGACCAGCCACCTTCCCACCTCCTCCATCTTTTCCCTCAGTGAGCTGGATTTTCTGTCCCCCATTCTTGTCTAGTAGCTAAAGTTGTGCTTAATAGAAATAACAATGTTATTGTGACTTTAAATATGATTTTCCATCTGGAATTTTGCATGGCCATCTGATACGGACTGGACTAGACCTCTTGGATATCAGTATTATCTGAGGGAAAAAGTCTAGGTTTGCCGACTCCTCTGGACATAGGGCTTTCAGTTATCCCCATTTGTGAAGTTATTATACTAATAGCAGTTGCCTTAGACCTCAATCACTTTTATTACAGTTGTATCTCAGATATAGCCGAGCCTTCCTCATTCATGACATGCTTTATAATTTATACCTACTAGTATAGATATAAAGAATTGGAAAAAATCTCAGAAATCAACAAATCCAATCCTGTCTCTTATCTTAAAGATTAAGAAGAAAGAGGTCTGAAGAGGCTAGATGACTTGTCTAAGGTTTCATGGTGATTTAGAGGTAAATGTAGAACCTAGGTCTCCAGATTCCTTTCCTGAGGGGTTTCCCACCATACCATGTTCCTTTAAAAACCCCTGAAACATAATGAACCAGGTCTTCTAAACTCTCAGGGTTGGCTTCAGTAATCTCTGAAGTCCCATGCTTTCTATTGCAGCCCCAGATAGTTCCCCAGGCCAACAGAAGACTATTCATGGGGTTTTCAAGCATAGTAGAAAAGGCCCATTATCTCTCAACCCCAGAACATTCCTCTATTCTGCCAATAAGAGCCTTGTTCCTCATTCGTGTGAAACATGAAACAGCCACCCTTACCACGCTGGCAATGTCTGTTGAAGAACTGCTTGCAGTAGAGGAAGAAGAGCCCCAGGAAGGCCAGGGTAAACACCACTAGCAGGCTGCTCACCAGTGCAACAAGTGCGACCTCCTGAGGGGGCACTGTGGGTGCATCTGCCTCCACTAAGCTCAACTGGAAGGCACCTGTGAGACAGAAAAATGGGGGAAGTCAGTTAGTGTGGGCAGTAAACAATCACACTAACCCTGGGCCTGGACTTCCTCAGGCTGTCACCCTTCTCCCTAGGGCCTTCCCCAATTAGGGTGGCTATGCTCATTTTTCTTCTTTCTAGAGCAGGCAAAATCATGAAGAACAAGGCAAAAGAATTTGTATATACTGCTGGTATGTACAAATTAGTACAATTAATCAAAGATGCACATATCCTATGATCTTTCTATGCCACATCTAATTATACAATCCAGATCAATGGAAACAAGCTAAAACATTCATCAGTAGAGCACAAGATAAACAAATCATGATATAATCCTAAAATTTTACAACACTTAGAGACCTTTATGGATCAGTATGAATAATATAGAGGGGAAAAAGAAAGTTGAGAAACAGAACATAGAGCTTGATATCGCTTCTATAAAACATTATGAAATACATAATAATAGCATATATCGGTTATGAATATGCACATATATCACAAAAGAACCCAAGTATTAAAACATTAGTGGAGAGTATGACAGAGGCATGGTGCTCACCAATTATCCACATACTCCCATGTGTTCCCCTTATGCCCTTGCAGTAAGGCCATAAGAGTACTTCTGGCCAATGAACTGTGAGTTGAAATGACATGTGTCACTTCCAGACTGAGGCAGTTAAGAACCAATATGTCTCCTCCATCTCTTCCCCTGTATCATCTACCTGGAAGATATATGGTCTAGAGTGCATGGTCAAATGATGTAGGAAGGCCTTTGCACAGTAAAAAGAATAAACTTTTATTGTATAAATTCACTGAAATTTTGCAGTTTGTTTGTTACTGTAGCATAGCCTACCAACAGAATACATACAATTTCAGGATAGTGGTTGTATCTGAGGAGGTAGGGAGGTAACAGAACTCTGCGAGAATCTAAAAGAGAATTCCATTACCTCTGTGGAATCTTCATTCTTTTAAAAAATCTGAAGCAAATATGCAAAAGGCTATGATTTATTAACTTTGGATAGATGCTGGGTAATTGCATTTTAATTTTACATTTTTCTGCACTTAAAAAATATTTCTACATGTTTGAAATTTTTCATGATTTAAAAAATATATCACTAATTTTAAAATAGTAAGTAAGAAAATAGATGGTAGACAAAAAAGATAGATGACCTGATAAATGGATAGTGATATAGGCATAGATTGGACCCTGGTTCTTCATTCAGCCTCTTACAAGTCCTCAGCTCTAAGGGCTCCTATATACTTTGTATAATAGTAATACCTCATAAGTGTACAAATATTATAATTTGTAAAGTGCTTCCTAATATCCATTTTATCATTAGACCTAGACACCCACCACAGAAAGTATGAAGAAAAATGATTATCATGACTCACCCTTTTTTCAGAGGTGGGAAATGAGGTTCAATGAGATTGAATGATTTGCACAGAGTTGCAAAAATAATATGTTGTAAAACGAGAATTCTAATCTGATTGCCTTGCTACTCTACATGAAAAGGTATGAGGGGATAGGGGAAGTATTTACTACCCTATCTTGTTGCCACCTCATGGAATGTGGAGAAAAGGGAAGAAGAGAACTGGGTACACACATTGAACTTCAGAGGTGGGAGTCTGCTTCGTGCACGGGATGCACTCTTGCTCCTGCAGGCCTCCAATGCGTGTCTTTCGGTAGAACCTGTGTTCAGAGCAATTAGGAATGGCAGGGTGATCAAACAAGCAATGAACGTGGACCAGTTCATCCTGGGAAAGCAGCTCCTAAGAATCTTGCCAACCTGAAAGTAAGTGCCCACCCCTCATTCTGAGTTATCTGCCTCTGTGTCTTATTCTGACTCAGAGACCCAGACAGACACTCTACTTCTTCCCCCATTCATCACACCTTGTAGCCAAAAGGAGACCTAATTCCACAAAAGAGGGATGCAGTACTTTGCTACCAAGTACATCATAGCTTCTTTTAAGTCTACAGTGAGATTTACCTTGAACTTTGGTCTTCGGCTGAGAATGATGATGAAAAAGCTGTCAAGTACTCATCTGTGACTGACAATGTGCTAAGCACTTTATAGAGGGATCTTGGGAAGACACCACTTCTCTCTTCTTGGAGCTTAAACTGAATATTATGTTGATAGGTAGAATACTTCAACTAGGTTCTGAGAGTTGAGGATGGGAGAGACCTCCAACAGCTAGAAAAGCCCAGACAAGCTTGGTCTCATAAAGCAGGCTCACCTGGGCAGACAGTCCCCACAGACAGCATTAGAGGTAGCTGTGCAGTTGACCTTCTGAACACGATTGATGACAGCACAGGTGATGCAACTCTGACATCTGTGGTGGCCCCAACTGCTTTTGTACCTGCGAGGAGGGCAGGCTGTGCAGTAGGCATCTCCACCCTCTCCATAACCACAATCCTGTAGAGAGATGGGAGGTGTTAATATTGCTTTATAGGAGCTTGGAGATGGGATCACCTGTGGGACAAGTGGACATGCACAGAGTAGTATTTTTCAACTTGCAACCCCATTACTAAGTCATAAAACCCATTCACTAGCTTCCAGCCAGCATTGAAAGATAAAATAAAACAAAATAGAATAATGATATCAACTATAAGAGTATACAGAATGAAGTAAAGCTAAATATTTGTATCAGTCAGCATAGGCTATGCTGTAGTATGGCAAAAATCAAACCCTAAATCTCAGTGTCTTAAAAGAATAAAAGTTTATTTCTCACTCATCATATTTGCCTACCAGGGGGTTCCTGAGGACTCTGCTGTACATCATCCTCAATGGGGTACCCAGGGTTACAGAAGCTTTATTTTTGTGCTTTTATGATTGAAACATTCTGAACTGTGTACAAGCTCTTAAAGTTTTCCCCCAAAAATGACCCATATTGCTTTACTCACATGTCCTTGGCCGTACATATCACATCATCATTAATAACTACAAAGGGTACAAGAAAATGCAATTCTACAATGTGACAGAATGTGGGGAGCTGAAATATTTGACAAATAGTCATAAGCACTACCCACATCAGTACTGTTTTATAAAAGTTTTCTAGATAAAATGCATGAAAGTATACATTGAGTTGTGACAAAAAGTTATTTCTTACTCTAGGTCATGGTAAAAAAATTTTTGAATGCCAGTGGTATAGATGAGAGGCAAACACTCTAGTTGTCTCTTATCTCAGCTCTGGTACTAAGTTTGGCCATACTCCTTCCCCCCCGACCCCCAATTTCTGGGCATCAGAAGTCCCAACACTGAGTAAATTGGAATAAATCTTCTCTAAAGATTATTAAAGCTGACAGCCTAACCCCAACAGGAACGAGATTCCTGCCTGATACCAGTCACAGCTCTTTCTCAAAGAAACAACTCTAGTTGTAGAAGGATATTAATTGTATGCTAGTTGTAGCAGAAGCTGGCTGGTTGTTCACTTAACCTATTTTTTATTTCTCCTGGGAACACCACTAGCCTATATTCTTTAACTCCACTGCAATGAAGTGGGGGCATGTGCATCATTTTTAGCCAATGAAATACGGATACTAATATTGTTTGCATTCCCAGGCCTGACTCAAAAACATGTCCTGTGTGATACTTAAATTTTCTTCATACATTCATTTTCCAGTGCTTGCTGACACCGCTGGAAACCTTGGAATAAATACATTAAGAATGATAGAGGAAACCAGATAAAATGGAGGAGTGGGCAGCTTCAAGCTCTTATGCCCCCAAAGAAACACAGAAAAACAAGCAGGAACTGTCATAATCAATGTTGTCAGAACTCTGGAAAGCATTCAAAGGCTTACATGAATCATGTAAATGTTAAATCAATAAAAAGCCACTTGAAAATAATAGGAAAGTAGTTTTCTGCTATTTTTACTTGTACTTGTTACATCCCTCACCGCAGAGCAGTGGCAATCCTAAAGTAGTGTAAGTCTTAAAGTAGTCTCAGCCTGTATTCCTAGTGTGAGACCTCAGTACCTGATTCCAGAGTGAGCTAAGCAAAACTTATTGACAAATTACTGTGTATGTCTGTCCTAACCTCTTTGAGGGCTATTTGAAGGCCTGATATAAGGTATTTATGTATGTTCTAGTCGATTCAGAATGCAGATTGGAAAAGTGATGGGCACTCTTTCAAGATGCTGCAAGACAAACTAACAAACCACAATGCCTAAGGCAATGATTATGGATTAAGAAATAAAACAGACTGTCTGAATCTGGAAGCAAAAGCTGGGCGGGGGTTCCTTTAGAAATAAGGACATTCAAAAGTATCCACGTGGAGGAATTTAGAAAGGTATGTGCATACAAGACACATGCTCACAAAATACTAGTGGAGACCTAAAGCTTACATGTCAGGCTGATCCCTAAGTTAAGTGCACATCTGGCTAACTGTTTAAGGAGTGTCTCAGCACAGAGCCAATCTAAAAATGTGATAGAAGTGTGTGACTATTTTTTCTTTTGGTGGTTGTTGTCATTTTTTAACTTTTAACATTCAATGAAATTGCTGTCCAAACATTAGCTGAACATGAGTTAAATTAGCATAGGTTTCAATGACGATGCATGACAAAGAATAGTCCCTACAAAAATAGTTTGGAAAAACACCTAAACAAATGGAGTGCTAGCCTAGGCAACATGGCAAAGCCCTGTCTCTACCAAAAATACAAAAATTAGTTGGGCATGGTGGCATGCACCTGTGGTCCCAGCTACTCAGGTGGCTAAGTTGGGAGGATCGCTAGAGCCCAGGAAGTGGAGGCTGCAGTCAGCAATAACCATGACACCACACTCCAGTCGGGGTGACAGAGCAACACCCAGTCTCAAACAAAATAATAATAATAATAATAATAATAATAATAACAGAAGGACTACTATAGCCTTCAACAACACAAATCTAGAAAAAAAATAAATAAACAAAAATGAAACAGGTAAATGTGAGGAAGAGGGGGAATCTAACTTCCAGAGTTACTTCATTACAATACAAAACTGCCCAGTTTTTAACAACAAAAAGTAAATCACACAGTGTAAAAAGAAACAGGCAACTGTGGCCCATTCAAAGGAACAAGAAAAAGAAAGAACTGAGACTATTCTTGAGGAAGCCCAGACATTGCACTTAGTAGACAAAGACTAAAAGAACCGTCTTAAATTTGCTCAAAGACAAACATGGACAAAGAATTAAAAGAAATCAGGAAACAACTGTATAAACAAAGTGAGAATATTGGTAAAGAAAAATTGTAAAAAGGAACCAAACATAAATGCTGGAGCTAAAAAGTAATGAAATGAAAACTTCACTAGAGAATCTGCGTAGGTAAAAGAAAAAATGAGCAAACCTGAATGTAGGACAATTTAAATTATCAAGTCTGAGGAGAAGAAAGTAAACAGAACATAAGGAACTTGTGGAACATCATGCAGGTGACCAATATATGCATTACGGGATTCCCAGAAAAAAAATAGGGAGATGAGGAACGAGAATGACTATTTGAAGAAATAATGGCTTAAAACTTCTCAAATTTGATGAAAGACATAAATTTACCCATCCAAGATGCTCAAGAAACTCCAAGCAGAGTAAACATAAAGAGACCCGTGCTGAGATACCCTATCAACAAAATGTTTATAGCTGAAAACAAAAAGAAAATATTGAAAATGAAGAGTGAAATTATTTGTCAAGTAAAGGTATTCTCAGTAAGATTCAAAGCATATTTCTCATCACAAAGTGCAGAGACTTAAAGTCCGTGAGATGACATATATAAGTGCCTAAACAAATAAACTGTTAACCAAGAACTCTATATATAGCAAAAAACTTCTTCAAAAATAAAAGAATAATTAAAATATCCCTAGATAAACAACAGCTGATTGATATCACTAGACCTGACTATAAGAAGGGAATCCTTCAGGCTGAAATGAACAGACAATGGACAGTAACCCAAAGCCATACAAAGAGTAAATATCTCTGGTAAAGGTAATTGCATGAAAAAATATGATTCCACTTATATGAAATATCTAGAATAGGAAAATTTGTAGAGATAGAGAGTAGAGGCTATCAGGTACTTTGGGGAGGGAGAAATTGGGTTATTGCTTAACGCATACAGAGATTGTATTGGGGTAATAAAAAGTCTTAGAAATAAAGGGGTGATGGTTGCATAACATTGTGAATATGATTAATGCTACTGAATTATACACTTACAGTGGCTAATACAGCAAATTTGAGATTATATATTTTACCATAACCTTAAAAATCATAATGCAGTATACAAAAAACCATGAATTGTAAACTTACATGGGTGAATTGCCTGGTAGGTGAACTGTAGTTTAATAAGGCTGTTTAAAAAATACAGAGCTCCCATAAGCCTGGCTTCCTCAATGGCTGAGAAGAATCCTCCTACTCCCCAACATGGATTGGAATTACATTCAGGAATAAACCCTTAACCTGTTATGTCACCAAACTTTAGTATTTGTTACAGCAGTTAGTATTACCTGAACTAATATTTAAGTTATACTTTCCCAGGAGATGGAAAAAGTGAGCATCAGGCAGGCTCTAAATACTCCTGCCATTCTGTCCCTGTGTTTGCCCACTCAGGTTTTACTCAATGCCTTGCAGCCTCGCTCACAATGATCCCATCTGCCAATGGGATCTGATACGAGCGCTAGCCATTTTACTCTAAGTTTCTTGAAAAGGCAAAGGGTTTCTTGTAATCTCTGCTAACTTATGTGCACCATTGGAATGCTGATAGCTTCCATATCTGCTTAAAACAGTGAGCTGAGGGTCAAACTATTAGGAAATATAATGTAGTGACGAAAATCCCTGATCCACGGTAATGAAGACCTATCTGTAACTCCCACTTTTATCACTGACCAGCAATGTGACCTTGGACAAGTCATTGGGCCTGAATTTTCTCGTCAATCCAATTGTAAATAATGCTATCTAACTTATAGGTTTGTTAAGATTACATGAGCTGACCAAATGAACAAAGGGAATATCTCAAAGCAATGGAAAATAGCTGGTTTTTTAAATAGGTTATGTTGTATAACTGAATGACAGTATGAAAAATGATAAAATTAGATACATTCCTCACACTATACACCAGAGTAAATTCAAAATAGATCAGAAATTTGTAGATAAAAATTAAAACCAAAAAGTACCAAAACAAAATACAAATAAATTTCTCTTTAATCTGGGAGTGGAGAAATTTTCTCTAACTGCAATTCAAAGTCCAGAATCAATAAAGGAAAGATAGATAGATCTAATTACATAAAAATTTTACAAACTTTCAGGGTAAAAGATTCATAAGCAAAATTAGAAGATAAATAACGAACTAGTAAACAGATGTACACCATATCACAGACTAAAGATTTATATTCCTAAAATACAGAGCTAGTATAAATTAACAACAACAACCTTATAAGAAACTAAACGTACATTCACAGAA